ACTGCTCTGGAATAAACCAGTGCTAAGCATCTACCACTCTCGAGTCACTGTACCCCAGATTCAGATTAGTGGGGTGGAGGTGGGGATACTATTTCACTTTAGTTGAATCATAGTCCAACCCCTGTCCAAGGAAAGGCGGGACACCTGCATTGGATTGGTCGTTCCCACAACACTGTATACCACACAGCTATTTAATTCCATAAAGGGCAATCTTTGCCCCGCACAAGGTGCATATTAACTCACTTTAATCTTATAAAATAAATACTATTATTATCATCATCCCTGTTTTCAGAGGACACTGAGATACAGAGAAGTAAAGTAACTTGCCTGTAGTCACACATCTGTTAAAGAGGCAGAGCTGGGTTGCAAACAGACAGCCTGGCTCAAGTCTGTCCACTGAACCCACTACCTATCTGACCTCTCCAGTGAAAGGGGAAATAGAGGCAAGATAGACAAAAACACAAGCCTCCTTGCAGTTAACACACATGGGATTAGGAAGAACATCTGCTGTTTTTAACATTGTTTTAGCCACCAGGTATTTACAAGCCAAGAAAGAAAAAGACTTATGAACAAAACCCCAATCATACAGGAAACAGAACAAAGAGCCAACAACTGGAATCTCATCTTATTAAAAGGTTTTTTTGTACAGTAAAAGAAAACACCAACAGAGTACAGAGACAACCCACAGAATAGGAAAAAATTTTGCCATCTGTTCTTCAGACAAAGGACTAATATCTAGACTATATAAAGAACTAAAAAAAATCAGTCCCTCCAAATTAAAGATCTGATCCAAAAATGGGCATCTGAAAATGTCCATTTTTCTCAGATGAAGAAGTACGAACAGCAAACAGATACATGAAAAACTGTTCAACATAACTGGTCATTTGAAAAATCCAAATTAAAACACCCCCAAGATTCCACCTCACCTCAGGAGGAATAGCTATCATCAAGAAACCAACCAATAGCAAATGCTGGCAGAGTAGTGAGGGTTGAACATTTCTTCTCATGTCTCTTCACTGGGGAGTCCTCAAAAAAGTAAAACTAGATGTCCCATTGAACCCAGCTGTTCTCCCTCTTGATGTGTTTCTGAAAAAATTAAAAGCATCACACCACAGGGATACTTAGTTTGTAACAACTAAATCTTGGAAACACCTCAAATGCCCATCAGTGAATGAATGGATAAAAATGTGCTTTTTAAAAAATATACAATGAGGTACTACTGTGACATAAAGAAGGATAAATTTGAGGCATTTTTAGCTAAATGGATGCACATTGAGACCATATTCTTTAATGAAATAAATCAGATACACATGTTTAAACACTGCATGTTTTCTGTGGTGTAAGAAACTGAAAGTGTAAATAAGGACCACAATGTATAACAGACATTTGGAAATGAGAAGAAAATGTTTAAGTGAGAAGGGGAACAAGGGATGGGGAAGGAGGAAAGAAAAGAAGGGACAAGGAAAAAGAAGAATAGAGGGGAAAAAAAGGAAACAAAACTGTTATAAGTAGGAAGAGGGGATGAAGGGGAGGGAGGAGATTGGGGAAAAGAAAAGAATCACGATATATCATGTACAACACAAATTTCCTATGATGAACATAATCACTGTGTATATCTCAAATATACCAAGAAAATGTTTTTTTAAAAATCTTAAGAAAAGATGTATACACACACACACACACTCACACACACACACACACACACACACACACACATACACAGAGCTAAAGATACAAAAAGGCAAAGTGATTTCTATTTTGGAAATGTTTTTTAAAGTCCTGCTTTCTCCATAGGAGAAAGGGAAATAATTAAATGCTGGTGATCTCATTTTCAGCTATGAAGGAAACAGTGAACGATCTAGGACCCAGGGGAATTCCAGCTGTCACCAGGCTGCACTCGTCATGGCAGAGAAAACCAGGGAATCAGATATTATCCATCATAAAAATATTCCCTAGACCAGGGAAGAGAGACATGCTTGCACTTGGTGAAACAAAATGAAGGGGCCACTGTATGGCTCTCACTGGAGCCCTGCTGGGCTCAGTTCCCTCAATGGCCCCTTGAGGTCCCTTGCATAGTCCCCCATCCTTTCGCGAACTTTGTACTCCGTGGACTTCCTCATTCTACATACAACAGGTGTCACGGCCTGAAAGCAAAAAGGCCACGGAGAAAGTCTCATAACATAAGCCACAAGCCTCAGGCTCAGCCTTTACCTGCATGACAGAGGGAACCCCAGCCCAGTTATACATGTTACTCCCTCTCCCCCAAGTACACGAAATAACCATTGGTGAAATGTGTGGGCTCTAGTGTCAGACCTAGGCTGGAATCCCAGCTCTGGACTAATGAGCTGAGTTACAATGGATAAACTGTCTAACTTCTCAAGCTCCATCTTCTACTATGAAGTACAGTGGGGTTACCAGCACTGAAATTCTCTTCCTATGCACCTGTACAGCTGAACTGGTTGTGAAAACATCAAAATTCTTCCAATTGACCAGTGAATAAATTATCATAGCCTTTGGTCCCCGCCAAGCTAACTTCTCTTCTCTCTGACCCTCTGGATGGCATAGTTAAGTTAACTCTTGACAGGACAGAGAGTTATACTAAGACCTCAGTCTAGCACTAGAGTCATTCTGAATGGTAACACTAACAGCCTGGTGGATAGCTTGGTTTTGTTTTGTTTTGTTTGTCTTTTTCCTTTTTATCGGTACCGGGGATCAAACTCACGACTGCCTGCTTGCAAGGCAGGCGTTTATGCCGCTGAGCTAAACCTCCAGCCCCGGTATTTTTAATATGTTTAATAACCCTAGGGTGTAGAATTGCTAAACTGGTTTTGTTAAGCTTCTAAACTCAAATTGACACAACCAACCATTACAGAGGACTACTGTGAAGTTCTAAAATAGCATATGGCACAGAGTGAGCTTCAGTATATTGTTGGGGGCTCTGGAGCTGTCAGTTTTATCACACATTTTCTTCATCCTCTTATCTGGAATTCTCACTCTGTTCCACAGGGTCTCCTGGAACAGTTCTCACATTTTACAGTCTGAGAGGCCCAGTGTTATGGTTTGTGTCTAGATGCCCACCTAAAGCCTCATGGAGTCACGGGGGGTGGGCTTGTAGAGTTTGTGATTGATTCATAGTCCAATACTAGGATTATGAGTGTGAGTGCTACACTCACTGGGGTAGACAGCCTGTATTCAACATAAAGGAGGGAAACAGGCTTGCTCTTGTGCTCCCTCCTCTTTGCTTTTGTTGCTTTTTCTGTCCTCTGCAGCTATGAATTGTTGCCTCTGCCATGTGTCATTCTGCGTTGGAGCCAGCCAGTTATGGACTGAAATTTCCACACACTGTGAGCTGAATAAACCTTTTCTTCCTTAATTTTGGGTGTCCGGTATTTTGCCTCAACAATGAGAGAAAAGTAACAGTGCACCCAGAGTTAGAAAAGTCTTGCTCACAGTCATGTGCGGGTTCATTGGCAAAAGTGGGGCACCATTTTAGAGTTTTGGATACCACCTCTAGCAACCCATGCTGTCTCCTCTTTGCTTGGAGGGTGGTTAAGTTAAGCAGCATAATTCGCGTTCATCTGTGGGTCCCATGAGTCCAGAACACACAGAAAGTGCCTGGGAAGTAAGTCATCTACTAAAGGGATGCACCTCCTACCTGGAAAGATACCATGGAGCACCCCCAGTTACCTGTTAGAGCTCCAGTGATAAACATATCCTGCAGCGAGGATAAAGGGCCAGCAAAACCAGTTCAAGGAAAATGGGCTGGTCCTAAAGAAGAGGGGACCACTAGCGCTTCCCAAGATGGCCTATCCAGGGAGTTTCTGGGGCCAGTCCCAGAATCCTCGCCTCTGAGGAGGTATTTGTGTCTCTACCCCATCCCCCACAGCCCACGGGACGCCCATCTCCTTTTGCCTCTTGGACAGAAGCCCAGCCCCCTCGCCGTGCTCTTCGGCATCCGCGATCCCATTCGACCGATCCCCGGCGCCCCGCCTCTACTTTTGATAGATCTCTACAAGTCCCTCCCTCGCACGTGGCCGGGCCCAGGGATAGCTGCTCCCCTTTCGCCCCCAGTCTGGCATAAAAGGATTGCTTTCTTTTTCCAAGCTTTGGATCAGGAACTCTCAGAAGTCTGTGTGATCTAGGATGCCAGGCTGGGCTTTGGGGAGACCCCCGAATACGAGGCGGAGGTGTTCCTGGGGCTCTGAAACCTTCCAGATCCGCTCAGTGTAAACCGCCTCGGGTTTGTGTCAACATCCGAGGCCGGAGACTGGCGGCGGCGGGGGACAGGCTCCCTCCAAGCGCCGGGAACACGGGGGTGGGGACTGGAGGGATCCATGGGGTCGGTGGAGCGCTCCTTCTGGCAGAACCCAAGTCACCCGGTCCTCGAGAAATAAGAATGGGGCCTGTCTGGGAAGGGATCTGAATTAAGGGCTGGAGGGGTGGATGGAGGGAAGGACTGGGTGGAGATGGGCCCCTCGCGGCCACACTACGCCCCGCGCGCGCACCCACCCTCCGCTCAGCTCCGCCGCGGAGGGGAACGAGGGGGGGCGGCTGTGCGAAGGCCGGAGCTGCTAACTACCCCGCCCCTTCTCTCCCACCCTGGCACTCGGTAGCTCCTCTTTGTCTTCCTCCAATGTCGGATAGGAATATTGGGGGAGGGTCGCATCTTGTGAGTCACCCCTTCTTCCACCCCCAGGCCGGAGCTCTGGAAGAGAGAGCTTAGAGACTGGGCTGCGGTTCTCCCGTTTCCATAGCAACGGCGCGATTGTTTGTGTGAATCCGCTTCAGTCATCCGTACTTTTCACTCTAGGCTGCATGCGGGGGTCTGAGCCTCAAGGTCGGGGTACAGGTTGGGGTAAAGGCTCCCCACGCCCTGGAGACTCGGAAGGTCAGCGCGGGCGGGCAGGGCGCGCTCCCGTGGGCCAGTTTTCTCTGCCCACCGCAGCCCCACCTGGAACTCCGCCTGCCACTCGGCCCCAGCAGAGCCAATAGAGGTCCATACTCCTCGGGATGGGGCGGGGCTTATGCAAATCGTGTTGCCTGCGAGAGGCACTTAGTGATACAAGAGCTGGGAGGCGGCTCCGGCGCGGACCTCGGATAGCCCATCGGCTTGCCCGCCAGCCAGCTCCCCTCCGCCCGCGGAGAATCGGAGCCATCCAGCGACCAGCGAGCGGCCTCAGGTAATGCTGGTGGGGCTGGGCCCTAGGGTCATTCCCGGGGCAGAGGCCCTGGGTCGCTCCCCTCCACTTTTCCTCCCCAATCCTCTCCTGCCCACGTCGCTGACCCTGGGTCCCTCACAGGCGGCAGCATTTGGGGATCCTGCCCCAGGGCAGGAGACCTCTACCTCAGGCCGTCCTAGAGTGCAGGAGAGGAAGCAGAGGTGCTTTTTTAGCACCAACTCTTGGGGTAACAATCATTGCTCAGCCGTCAACCCCCCCCACACACACACACACACTCGCACCCTGGGCTGGGGTGTACCTAATGCTCAGGAGGTCGATACCAGTCACCCTCTCTCCTGTAGCCTTTGGAGATGAGTAGCTGCCCAGCTCTGTGACAACCTCCCATCTCCAGATAGCCCGCACTCACAACAGTTCACGGCCCTTCACACCACCCAAAGACTGCCCCCGGCTCCAGAGACCAACCGCATCTCACATCGTCCCCATTTCCATATTGAAAGCTGACCAGCTAACGGCACACCTGAGGGAGCAAAGGAGGGATGCCTCCCCTCATGTCCTGCTGGGAGACATTCACAGTCGAGGCACTTCCTGTGGCCCCCAGTGTTAGGCAGAGGCCCCACTTTTGGCCTCTTTTATCTTGGCTGTAGCATGAAGCAGGGATACCTCCACTCCCAGGGAACACCCACACTGTATCAGGCTGCCCGGGCTCCAGCCTCCACACTTTCTCCTGCTTGCTTCCCTCACAGCCAGAGGACCAAGTCCCCTCATCCTACCTCCCAAATCTTTCTAATTCAACTCTCCACTCCAGTAGTCGCTCCCTCTCTGTTATCTTCCTGCTGTCCCACAGGGACTGTGCTAAGCTCCGCGTGGACTATGTTGTTCCTTTCCTTAAGATGGCATGAATCTCGAAGGCAGCAGAGCTGGGTGCAAATCTCTCCTTTGCTTCAGTGGCCAAGTCACTTTTCTCTCTCTGATCTTTCACAATATAGGAAAGGGGACAGGAAAGAAAGTGAACTGATTGAAGTGCTCTTGAACAGCCTTCCAACACTCACAGACTCTGGTTTGATGACTGATTTGAGAAAATAGGGACCTGAACCACTAGAACATTTCAGAGCAGAGGCCTAGCGGCTCCCATCCTCACAGGGAGGTGGGGAGGGGGGGGTGTATTGGTTCTTACCTAGACCTGAGCAAAGGCCACTCACTCCCACACAACTTCCCATCTCCTGTCTCAGGAGTCTCTTCTGGACCACCAGCACACCCCTGGTATGGACAGCTCCAAACTGGAGGTGACCAACAGGGCTCACCGTTTGTCACTTCCTGCTTCTCTTTAAAAAAGAGAGGCAGAAGACCTGGTTACTACCATTGCTGCTGCTTGGAGAACAGCAAAGGGAGGAGAGGAAAGAGAGAAAATCTTCTGACCAGGGAGCTGTTGTCACCATGGCAACCGCCTCAGCACCAGCTCCTCTGAAGCTGGGCGAGGGTGTGGGATTATTGCCTCCTTCAGTCCTTCCCAATTGCATTGCTATTTCTCCATTCAAAGCCCACAATCCTGAGTGCTTTCGAAGATGCCACTGACCATGGAGGGGCAGTGATTTTGTGCTTGGGGCTGGGCCAGTGACTTCTCAGCTGGAGGACAGCTCTTCAGAGGCCATAGCTCCAACAGAACATGCCCCTGGCTAAGTTCTGGCCTTCAATTTGCTGCAGATGGGCTCTAGTTGACCTTAGGTGAACCCTTCCTTTCCCTGGCTCTGAGTTTCATCATCTCTAAGAGGTATGCTAGAAAGAGAGCACAGATAAACAAAACAAGGTGACCTGGTTTCAAGAAGAAAAGCGGGCACGGGTCTTCTCACATAACCTACCAGGAGATGGCCACTGCACATGGCTGAGCCCTAGGCACTTCTTTCACCTCTCGGATGCATTGTGCAGGGGGCAGGGCTGGAGCCTGTGGCTGACAGCTGTATGAGAGCTAACTCAGAAACAATGGGCAAAGCTCTTCTTTCACTGTCCAAATTGCTTAAAAGTATTCTGGATCCTCCTAGGAGAGGATAAGCTCTTTACCATCGAGCAGAAAGCCCCAGAGAACTTTCCCTGGCTCAGCTAGGCATTGAATGCAGAGGCCTTTTCTGAAAACCAAGAGCACCAGATAAGGGCCAGAGGACTCCATGGCTATGGAGGTTCCACTTCCCCCACCTCCCATGGTCTACTCTTGCCCAGAGTACTGGAGCCCATGCTGCTGCCTGGCCACTGTCCAGGCTTGAAAAGGCTGATCATAAGGAAGCAGGTTTCAGCCGGGTCCTGAGGGCTGAATGCAGCTTGGATTGATCCAGAAGAAAAGAGAGGATGGTGGGTGTGAGGAAACTAGCTAGACAGGTAGATGATACAGGTTCTGTCTGGGACAGGCCTGGCTCTAGAAGAGTAAAGGGGAGCAGTGGAAGGTGAGGTACCAGGGGGACACCTTGAGACCAGATTCTAGCAAATGCTAAAGTTTCAGAGGGCTCATAAGCATGGCTACCTCTACCCTACATGGCAGTCTCTGGGAGTGGGACAAGCATATTGGGGGCACAGAAGAGTAAGAAGGAAGAGACTTCGTGCAAGGCAGATGGACCTCAAGGGCACGGGCCTGGCTTTGCAAGCAGAGCCCCAGGTAGATTTCAACCCCGCAGCTGTGCCTCTGGCCATAGACATAGTGAAGATTCCAAGAGTGTCTCAAATGAAGAAACCACAAAAACAACAAAAAAAGGGACTTGATGTCAAGTTGGACCTGGGGGAACGGGAGAAGGGAGACCTAAAGTAGCTTACTGATTGTATTTCCCCCAAAACCCAGGGGTCACGGAAACAAGGAAGAGACAATGTAGAGAGATAGATCATCTCAGGTTGAGGGTGAGTCTGGCTGTAGATATGAATACTTGAGTACTAATGGCACCAGCACCAGGGTGGATATTTCTGGATATCAGAGATCATGGCCCGGAGGTCAAGCAAGATGATCCCACTGAGGCCAAAAGGGAGATTAAGAGCTGATTTCCCCAGAAGGCAAGTGGGGGTGGAGAAGTTCTGTAGTGAGCCAGAGCAGCCATGATGTAGAGGGAGGTCTAGGCAGGTGGCAGGGATTCATTGTGGGTGCTCATCGGGCCCCCTCACTGTCCCGCAGGGTAACCCTGAACCGGTGTTTGCAAAGTGAGGTAAACACCTCACTTTGCACTAAAATGAGGGGATGACCTCAAAGGGGGCTGCCAGCTGTGACCTCTGACTGACTCATGGAGAGCAGTAGAGAGCTCAGAAGAAATGGAGAAGGCCTTGGTCTAGGCCTTGCAGGGAATGGGACCGACAAGGACAGGGATAAAACAGAATTGGGGGAAGGCAGCACAGGGCAGAAGGAGAAAGGGGCAAGAGATGAGGGCCACACACAGACACGGCAACATATAAGGAGACGTGCGCACTTCTGGCAGATTTGCAGTCTCGTACACTGACACCCTCCCACACAGACACGGTCCCTCAGGCAGACGCTCAGGCAACTGCACGAGAGACACGAGATATGGGGAGAGGCTCTCCCTCCCCCAGCACACAGCTCTGCCTGTGGGTTCTCCAGCTTCCTTTCCGATACCCTAAGCCCATGGAATCTTTGAACCTGAGGAGGGGGTAGACAGGGACCCTGCCTCCTCCTCCCTTGGGTGTGCTAAGGGTACTTTTGACTCTGACCTCAGTGCAGCTCTCTTGCCCTCCGCAGCCCCTGGCTCCCAGAGATGGCAGCCTCCCCACCCGACAGCTCTCCTGAGCGAATAGGATGCCTCACCCTCTGGGGGTGGTAGGTGAGGAAGGATGTGGCCATTTTGCTGCTCCTTGATCTTCCTTATGGCCCAGTGGAGAAACATGAGGTCCAGAGATACCTTATTACCAACTTGAGGCTGCCCAGCAAAAAGCCGGGAGCATGAAACTGTCACAACACCTATCTGATGACTCAGGCCATGCCCAACAGTAGGGATTAGAGACCATACTGGCGTGAGTGGCAGTGACTGTGGGATTCTTTTTGCTAATGAGCTCCCTTTATCAGAGTATCTTGAGGACAGTTTATCTGCAGTGAGAGCCTCCAAAGAAACTCTAGGCAAGTGAAAAGCAGGTCCCAAGCTCTGTCCTGGGAAACCGAGGCGTCATGATTCCCATGGTGACCAGTCAAAAGTGTCCACTCGGTCTTAGGGCATGGCCAGGATTCTGGGAAGGCTCTGTGCCACCCTCTGTAAATGTTTTCTCTGGTACAGGCTACTTGAGGGGCTAAGGGCTGACTTGACCCACCCAACCCCCTCACTGGCCTGCTTCTCAACCACAACCACTCTATCCATCCATTCAGCCCCAAATCTGAACATCTGCCTCAACCTTTTTCCCTCTCACACCCTAACATCCAGTTGGGCACCAAGCCCTGTCCTAGGAGCGCTGTGCCCATCCATTTCTCTTGATAGCCCCTGTCTTGCATTACCCACACTGTGTAACATGTTCCTCCCTGCTCTGCCCACCTCCCCTCACTCCAAGTCACCTTGTACACTATAGCCAAAAGAAAAATGCCTACATGCGCATGTTCTCTTTGGCTCCTGAGCCCCAAGATTAGGACCTGGCGCAATGCAGGCACCCTATAAATGTTGTGGAATGAATGTTAACTTGAAAGCCCTTGCTTAAAGCCCCCAGGTCCCTGTGAGTGCTTGGCATGGATTGAAGGCTCTCGGTAGTCAGCCACCACCGCTGTGGTCCAATTTATGAGTTCCTGCAGGTTGTTTGTGTTGGTTTTGTCTCCATCCCTAGCTCAAGGCCTAGCACATAGTCGGTCTCAATAAATGCTGTGGAGATGAAGGAGTTAATCAAAAGCAGACTGTACTCACAGTCATCAATGCTCCAGGCTAAGATTCCTACTCGTACACAGGAAGGAGGGAGGGAAGTTCCTACTGGAGTGGCTGGAGAGACGTTGAGAGGCGTGTCAGGGAGACACATAAGAAACCTGTCTGTGGTCAAAGCAGGAGAGGAGCCTGCCCAGGAGAGAGGGCGCCACCAGTAGAAAGCCCTGCATAGCAGGAAGAGGAGTTGAAGCTTGGTGCTATGGGAGCGGGGAGCTATGGAAGGTGGAAGAGGAGAGGTGAGGATGGAGGTCATGGCATGCCGCAGCTTGGGTCACTGAGAAGGTCAGCTGAGATCAGGAAAGCTGGAATCCTCAGGCCAGGAAGAGCCTTCTCTGGGTGCAGGATGTTAAAAGGGGAGAGGTGGTGCTATTATGGCAGGAATTGCAAGGTGTATGCTGCACAGAGGGACATGGACCAGAGAACGTCTGCTCCCCATGGGAAGGGGTGGGTGAAGGCCAGAGCCCTGCTGTACCCAGGTGGGCTTGTTGGGCTAGGTGGCTGGGGGGGGGGGGGCTGTTGATAAACGATCCCTATGGAAGGCTGTGTTGTGGGCGTGGGGGAGGGCCTTACCCTGGGCTGAGCTGAGGGAGCTCCCTGTCCTCCAGGCCTTGCCATGGGGAAGACCAACAGCAAGCTGGCCCCCGAGGTGCTGGAGGACCTGGTGCAGAACACGGAGTTCAGCGAGCAGGAGTTGAAGCAGTGGTACAAAGGCTTCCTGAAGGACTGTCCCAGCGGCATCCTCAACCTGGAGGAGTTCCAGCAGCTCTACATCAAGGTGGGCACAGGTGGACCCCCGGGCCCCAGCTCCAAAGGGAGCAGGAGGGTGGGACTGGAGCCCGAGCGGGCGGGGCGGCGGGCAGCGAGGCTGACGTGCGCCCCACGCCCTCACCTTGCCTTAGTTCTTCCCCTACGGCGACGCCTCCAAGTTCGCGCAGCACGCTTTCCGCACCTTCGACAAGAACGGCGACGGCACCATCGACTTCCGGGAGTTCATCTGCGCGCTGTCGGTCACCTCCCGCGGCAGCTTCGAGCAGAAGCTCAACTGGGCCTTTGAAATGTACGACCTGGACGGCGACGGGCGCATCACGCGCCTTGAGATGCTGGAGATCATCGAGGTGCGGGGGAAGGGGGATCAGGGCCTCGGTAGGCCTGCTGCACCCAGCTCTTCCCACCCAGGATCCAGTGAGCCACTGCAGGCCCCTGGGCTAAGTGTTTTACCGCTGTCCAGGAAGCCCCATTTTACACAAGGAAACGTAGCAAGTGGTTGTTTATGATTCAAATCAAGGGAACCTGACTCCGGAGCCTAAGGGTTTTGTTGGTGGTGTTGCTTTGCTGTGTCCTGTTTTGTTTTGTTTTGTTTTTGACAAGATCTTGCTTTGTAGTCCAGGCCAATTTTGAACTCATGATCCTCCTGCTTCAGCCTTCCCAAGGCTGGGATTACAGACATGTGTCACCATGCCCGGCTCAGAGTTTACATTCTAAACTTATTCATTCTTCAGGTTAATAAGTTTTGATTGTTTGCTAAGTGCCAGGTACTATTCAAAGTTCCTGCTTTCTTTCTTTCTTTCTTTCTTTTTTTTTAAATTGGTACCGGGGATCGAATTCACAACCACGCGCTTGCAATGCGGGCGCTTATGCCGCTGAGCTAAATCCGCAGCCCCGAAGTTCCTACTTTCAGTCAGGTGTAGTAGTCCACATCTGTAATCCTAGCACTTGGGAGTCTGAGGTGGGAGGAGCTCTTTAAATTCAAGACCAGCCCGTGCTACACAGTGAGTTCAAGGCCAGCCTGTGCTACACAGTGAGACCCTGTCTCAAAAGCAAACAACAGCAACATCTGAAAAAACGAAGTTCCTGCTTTCAGGGGCATTCCTTCTATTTTTTTCTTTTTTGTTTCTTTCAAATCCATTTTATTCAAAGTTAAAAAGAAAGATGAATGAAGAAGAAAACTCCAACAAAATTTCAGAGCACATCAGCTCATCCCCAAATGATTCACCAGGGGATGCCTTCTAGTGAGAAATTTTAAAAATAAATAAGCCTAATGCCTTGCTGGCCAGTGCTATGAAAAGGATAAGCAGAGTAAAGAGTGAGCTGTGGCTTGAGTCGGGAGGAGCTAACCCAATGTCTATGCAAAGGGAGCAGTAAATGCAGGTGAGATTGTGTTTGCAAGATTCAAGGAGTGGCTGGAGGTTGGATGCAGCCTGTGAGACAGAGGAGAGCTAAGAATGACATCAGTGGGTCGGGTTTAGCTCAGAGGCCTAAGTGCCTGCCCCGCAAGTGTGAGGTCATGAGTTCAATTCCTGGTACCAAAAAAAAAAAAAAAAAAAATGACATCAGGGATTTGAACAACTGGCAGAATCAGAGTGCTACTTCCCGAGAGAACACTGGAGGAGGCCCAGGTTGGAGTGAAGAGTTGGGTTTGAGACGTGATTAGTTTGAGGTACTTGTTAAATATTCAGTCTTTTTTTTTTTTTTTTTTACCAGTACCAGGTATCGAACTCACGACCACAGGCTTGTAAGGCAGGTGCTTATGCCGCTGAGCTAAATCCCAAGCCCCTAAATCTTCAGTCTTAATGGCTGTATATCACCTTCCAGTATTCTTCCCACCCACTCCCAGATCCCTTTTATTTACAGTCAGTCCCCTCTGTCTTTTGTGGGTACTCACACCTTCCTCCTCACCCCCACCCCAGGCTATCTACAAGATGGTGGGCACTGTAATAATGATGCGAATGAACCAGGATGGGCTCACACCCCAGCAGCGTGTAGACAAGATCTTCAAGAAGATGGACCAGGATAAGGATGACCAGATTACACTGGAAGAGTTCAAGGAGGCGGCCAAGAGTGACCCATCCATTGTGTTGCTGCTGCAGTGTGACATGCAGAAGTAGAGGCTGGTGAGGGGCAGGGCCCCTGGCCAGGAGGGCCATGGCCACCTCCCAACCTGATGACCTCTCTGGCTGGCCCTTCCCCAGGGGGAGGGACAACGCTAGCCTCACTCTCCAGTCTACCCACTCCACTACCCAAGCCCTTCCTCCCCTCAGTCAAGTTCCCTGAGGGATCACCTCACCCTGTACATGGGACAGGTCCTCTGATCTCCTGTCATCTAGCCCCACCTCCAGCCTTGGCCCAGAACCAACATCCATTGGCCATAGGGGAGTTGGCTTTTACCCTAAAAGGCAGGGTTAAGGAGGTGGGGTTGGGTTCTGCTGTGAAATCTTATTGTTCCTGGGATTGTGCTTTATGGAATGGGGTCCCTCAGGCCCCAAAGGGCCAAATTGGGTCTGTCCTTTCCTAAGGACTCAGATCTCTTACAGGTGGTATCTGCCCTGCTCCCTCATCTCTACCTGGCCTCTCTGGCCCACGGCCTTTGGAGTGTTCATTCAGTCCTTTCTTCAGCTAATGTTCTTTGAGCACTTATTTAATGCCAGGCACCTTTAGGTGCTAAGAATATGGTAGTTTACAAGACTACTCCATGCCCTTGGGCAACTTCCAGTGGTCAGGGTCTCGGAGAGGGTTGTTGTGCCCAGAGGAGAAGCAGCAGAAGGACGTTTGGCTGGTTTGAGAGGAGCCATTGTGTCTTCCAGCTAGCAGCACCCAAGTGAAAAAACTCAGAGGTTTAGGAGTCATGTGAAGGGAAGTTTTGAGAAAAATGAAAATCTATGTAATATTTATTTTTTTAGTACCCTTGAAAAGAGCTAAAATCATTTTATTAGAATATTAAATATACTCTATAATACTTGGTTTCTTATAAAAATGATTAAATGAATATAGAAATGCTAATCTTCAAAGGGGGAAAACTAAGGTAAAGGAGAGGAAATACCACCAGACCTAACAGATAACCCTTTGGGGAGGGGGTAGGCTGAGTCCCCAGCTGTCACCATCAGCAGTTTTTGCTGCTTCCGCTGCTCCCTTTTTTTTTAACCTTTTTCAATTCAACAAGTGACCACACACTTTGGGTGTTGACTTCAGAGACAGGAACGGCAAGGTTTACCAAGAGTGAGACAAGTGTATTCCCACACACTGGTAGTTTGTTTTGAGTTTTTTGGTTTCTGGGATGGACTCCTTCTTTCACTGCCTCAGATATAGAAGGAGCTAGAAGAAGAGGACCACCTGGCTATTGAGTAGGCTCCCAGGCTGCATTTGTAGACCAAATGCCTAAAACTGTGCTGGGCATGCTCCATTTGAAAGGCTTTTCCTCAGCCCCAGTCCTAGATCTGTATCTTCCTAGTGCACTAGCTTTGCTTTCTGATTTATGAACCTGTGAGCTCTCTGGCTGCATGTTTTGACTGCCAGAAAAATCATCTTGCTTCTCCATCAAGTTGTTCCCTTTATTTTCTCCTGTACTTGTAATCAGAACTTAGCTTTGATGTGCAGTGATGGTTGACTTCCTCTTGAACTGTTGGTGAGAATAGTGTAGTACATGGATGCTGTCCACCCAGGGTGGCAGTAGGGAATGACTGCAGGGCCAGGGCACATGGTAGGATGTACATCTGCAGGAAGGTGATGCAGCTTGTCCCTGACCTCCAGATGCTCGCCTGTCTTGACTCTTTGCAGGTGGAAACTTGGGTGTGCTGAGCTGTGGTCCCAAGCTCTGTTGGACCTTTCTTGTGACCCTTGGAGGTAGCAAGGTCACTGGGTTGCCTTCTCTTTCTGTCCTGCCTATGACCAAACCACAAGGTGAGGCTGGAGAATTCATATCCTCAGCTGGTAGCTAGCAAGGATTTATCTAGTAATGCCTCAAAGCATGTTCCTTCACTCTCGGGAGCTGGTTCTTAAGTGTGTCCTGTGCTGCCACTCAGCACCACCGATACATAAATGCTCAACACCCTGACTAAGCTGGAACCTGAATCAAGCCTAACTCCCAGTCCTGTTGAATTCCATGGTTTTCAAAGGTTTTCTTTCTGCCCCATCTCATTTGATCCCCATAGCCCAGGAAGATAGGGATATTCATTCTCTTTCTTCAGACTTGGAAGCTGTGGTTCAGAGAAGGGGGAGCCCCTTGTGCAAGAGCACGTAGTCAGGAAGTGATATGATGCCAAGACTTGAATCCAAGGCTCACTGAGGGAAGTCTTTTCTTCCCTGCTCATTTCTGTGTCTGATTTGTGCAGAGGTCAGCTGTGGCTTAGGCCAATTGGCTTTTGTTTTCTGTAAGCTTCTACTAAGAAGTTCCTGAAGCTAAGATCTTCCAAGAAAGTATAGGGCCTCAAATGAAGTTCCCAACATTTTTCAGGCATCCTGTGTTTGGCTTCTGCATCGTGCTACTAATGGGCCAATCCTGTCCTTAAAGACCTCTGACCCAGAACCCTGGAAAGCATCTTGCATTGTCTTACCATCATCTTCTTCTCTAAGAGAATGATTTTTGTTTTTTCCAAGTTGGTAGACAAGTCTTAATGAGAGTTCCATCACTCCAGGATTCTGGACACATACTCCCCTGTGGGTGATATTTGATGGTCAGGCCAAAGGTTTTTATACAGTTCAGCAGAGTGAACTCAATGCATGGCCAGTCTGAAACCATCTTCTCACTGGTGGAGACACAAGCAGGCCAGGCCTTGCTCCCACATTCTTCTGGGTGTCACTTTATGCCCATGAGCCCATGTGGTAGAGCACCAGCCCTGCCTTGGGAAGAGAGACAGGCTTCCCATTCTGGCTCCAGGTGAAAGGGTCTTGCCATCAAGCAGAGGTTTATGGATGTCTTGCACAGACACAAAAATACCTAGACAGTTAAGTCATTGATACAGCCAAAGTCTCTTTTGAAATTTCTTCTTATAGCAACTCCGAATTAGGAGGTTCCAGAATCTGTCTTCTCACAATCCTGTCCTCATTTCATCTTTTTGGGAGTAATTGATGGTCTTTTTAATTCTAAGCTCTAAAAATCATCAGCACAGGCTCCTTCAGATGACCACTCCAGTCCTCAGAGCTGTAGTCAGGATTATTTGACATACATTTCAGTCAAAAAGTCAGAAAAAATAATTTCGCAAAGGCACCAAATCCTTTTGCCTGGCAATAGTAGCATCCCTAGAGATAGAAAACACCCTGCTGCAGAGAAAGAAGGTAATGTGGGGGCAGAAAGAGAATAAGGGAAGAACTGGTGTTTTCTAGGCAGGATATCAAGCTGACATTATAAATACTTGCACACAGAAAGTTTATTAAAGCAACAAGTATTTCCTGACAATCCACCCTGGGTGAGGCTTTGTGTTGGTTTTAGAGATAGATGTAGGGACAAGTATTCATTTCTTATATATTTTATTCATCATTCTTGAAAAGGGAAATCAGTCAAGTCTTCAATTTCAGAGTCTCAGAAAAACATAGGATTTTCTTTCTGAAAATGTCAGGGTTTTCTTTGTAACTTTGCCAGAGTGTGGGGGCAGGTCAGGGTATCCAGGTGTGGCCCCGTCTGCTAGACACAAGCCGGCCAGGCCTAGGGCCTCCTAAGCAGCAGCAGCATTGCAGCCTGGGACAGCTGAGTGACCACTTGGCAGGGGTGCTCCAACTCACCACAAGTTTCTGGTGTCGCCCCATCTACCGAGGATGTGCTGCTTCCGGCTGTGCCCAAAGTGACTGTCCTCACTGTCCACCCCTGTGCCATGTGGTGTGTGTGTTTCCCACTGACAATGAATAAAAGATGTGACTGTGCCGAGGCCTCTGTTCTTCCTGCTGGGCTGGGGTACAATGAGGGTGCTAGAAGTCTAGGGCCCCATACAGTGGGGATACCTCAGGGCTCTCCTTGGGACCAAGGTCTTTGTTCTGGCCAGGATTCTGGTCACATAGCATAGGAACCCACTTGGGTCAAAAAAAGAGGGGGATGGATCATGAGGGACCCTGGAGATGGAAAATCAGGACAGGCTGGGCCTCAAGAGAATGGAGCTGGTCCTCTCAGCTCTGGCTCTTCTTGCCTAGACAGTGTCTGCATCTGTGTTCTTTTCTGTGGCTTCTCTTCAGACTTCCTTGGTTTCCCTGTACTGAGTGGCTGCATCTCCATCCTCCACCAAGATACAGCAGTAATAGACATCTTCACTCTATCTTTTAGTTCTGGTTCTCAAGCCAAAGGATCTACTTAGGTCGCCTTAGCTTTTGGAGGAACCCCTAGATCAGGCATCTTCTCTAGATCCAATCATCTGAGCCAGACTGGATACTGAGCACCACAGTTCCCCAAAAAAGAAGCTAATGGCAGCAGGCTCAGGGACTTAGCTTTTCTCTCTGTCCAGTGGAAGGTATCACAAGACTCCAAATGAAGGGATAGTGGCCAATGGGGAGGAAAGCTAAGAGCCAGGGTGACAAGTAGTTCATATGCTGTTCTTGGTACAAATGAAGAAAAGGTACAACCAAGTGTGGTGATGCATACCTATAATTCCTGAGATCCAGGAGGCCGAGGCAGGAGAATCACAAGTTTAAATCTAGCCTGCACAATTCAGCAATTTAGTGGGACCCTGTCTCAAAATAAAGGTTTTTTTAAAAGGGGTGTGGATGTAGCTCAGTGTGAAGGTCTTGGTTTTAATCTCTAGTGCCAGGAAGGAAGGAAGGTGGAAAAGGAAGAAAGAAAAAGAAGAAAATAGGTATTATTTTGGAGTGGAAGCAGCCCCATAAGTATGCAGCCAGGCAGTGGGTGGCACCTTTGGGCTACTTAGAAAAATATACCATTGTTTTTGGACAAATGCAGACCTGTGATGCCAGGAAGTTCACCGAGCCCCATCTGCCCTGCTGGTCAAGGCAAACCTGTTCCACCACACACAGGATTCCAGTCCTAAGACCCCTAAATGGCCCGGATGTGGAAGAATAGGTGTGGGGGTGGAGTACTCCTCTCAGAAGCACCCAGCCTGCAGAGCAGTGCTGCTCCCTGCAGGGATTTGGAACAGTAGCAGCCAGAGGTATCTACTTCTTTCTGAAACAGTTGATTGCTTTTACAAGGGTTTCTTCAAGGACACCTGGAGGGGCCAGCTCCCTCGGCAGGAAGCAATTAGGACAGAGGAAGGAGGCTGACCTGGCCTCAGGGTAATCATGAACCTGAGGAGGTGACTCAGAAGCCTGAGAACCTGGAGCTGCTCTCCCCAGTGGCAGCCAGTCCACACAGGAGAAATGGCGTGGTCCTACCCCCTGCGACAGCGGGCTGCATTTGTACAAAAACAAGGCTTGGGTTACCTTTTCCCAGGTACCTCACATCTTTTGCCCAGACAGGTTGGTCCACCTCCTATTTTCAGCCTTGCCCTCTGTCTGGTCTTACTGCCATCAAGAAGCTAAAGCAATCTTCTCTGAGTACCCTCCTTGCACGCCAGCTGAGCAAGAGCCCTCTCTGCATTCAGTGTGATCTGCACCTTAAATGTCCCTCAACGCCCTGTACCTGCTGACCTCAGAACCTTGCTCTTGGCTCACATGACACCCCAGTACCCTGGGCATGAGCCACCTCGAATAGTTCCCTTTTCCTCCCACCTCCCCCCATTTTCCTAAGGAGTCACTGGGGTCTCTGTACTTGTACACAACAGGCCATTGCCCCTCCCTTAGCTACATATTCCTCTGCCTCAGTGGGCCTTGTCCTATGTGAAGCCCTTGAGACTCTCCAACTAACCCCTCTTGTGTACACCATCACAGTCAGCAGAGCACATTTAAAGGGTTTTCATTTTGTTTTGCTTTGTGGTACTAGGGATTGAACCCAGGGCCTTCACACTAAGATACACCCACCTCCTTTGAAACAGGGTCTCACTTAGTTGCTAAGTCTCCCAGACTGGACTTGAATTGTGATCCTCCTGCCTCAGTTTCCAAGGACTAGGATTACAGGTATAAGTCACTATGCCCAACTATGTCTCCCATTTTTTTAAGACAAGGCAATGAAGGCTCAGTGATTAATAAATTTGGAACTTGAACTCAAGTCTCCAAACATGATTTATTATGGTTTGTAAGCCATGGGAGAGAACTCAAATCAGATGGTAGAAAGGAGGGGTAGAAAACCATAAACCCTGGGCTTCAGGAGAGAAAGGATATTGCCCATCGGTGGTGGGAATCAGCAAAGGGCCAGAGAACAGATACCTTTGTGAAGGGGTCACCGTCTACCCAGGAGCTTTATGAATGCCAGCCAACAGGGACTGACATTCCATGCAGGGTGGCCCAAGAAGAGTTCGGATGTGGAGAATGTTCCCAGTTTACTTATCTGAAGAAATGCCAGACCTGGAGGGAGAGCCCTGGCTGGGACCAAGAATACAGAGCCAAGGAACCCCTGCACCCAGCCTGCTCTTGTGACAGGCAAGCCAAAGGGGATGGTCAGAAGCCCAGAGGCCCAGAAAATGTAAAGAAATGCTGGGAACCCATTCTCTAACCCTTCCAAAGAGGGTTCAGGGACCACTCTTAAAGGGACTGAGCTGAGTCTGGCAGTTTTCCTTGATGGCAAAGAACAGAGACCTTGTGCCCGTGCGGGTAAAGGGAAATCTATTACCCATGACCTTTCGTTACAGGTGAACAAAACTCAACTCAAATGAGTTTAAAATAAAAAGAGAGGCTTATGGCCTGGCTTGTGTTACTGGGAAGTTCCTGTCCTGCTGGATTAGAGGCAGTGTTCTACTTTCTTCCTCCCTTCTTCTGCCTCTTGATGACCTAGTTGTCTTCCAGATAGACTTCCTCCATGTCCTTTCCCTGACACAGAGAGAGATGGGCCTCCAGCTTACATCATCCCAAATTAGTAAGCCCAGAGGAAAAAGATCCAAATCTCCCAGCATCCCTTATGGGTACCCAGAGGGATCACACAGTCATCCATGGAACAGACACCATGTCCAGAGAAACAATTGGTCAGGTGTTGGTCATAAGATACTCCTTTGCCAGGGCTAAAAGAGATTGGGAAAGGTGACTTGGTCAAGCAAAATCCATAGCATGAACTTCCTTCTGTGGGGCCTTTGTGGAAGCCATGTGAGGAAAGCCATGGAAAAGAGGTGTGGTGGTTGGCTTAGTCTGCTAGAAGGGACATTCTCTCCCACTTCTGCTTCATATTCTGTGTGACTGCAGCCTGCTGAAGCACATCTGGGCCAACTATATTTTACAGCAGCATCCTCTGTCATTTCTTTCTTTTCTTTTTTTTTTTTTTTTTTTTTTTTTACTATTTGAGACAGGCTCTCACGATGTGGTCAAGCTGGCTTTGGGTTCATTTTATTGCCCAGGCTGGTCTTGAACTTGCAACAATTCTCCTGCCTCAGCCTCCTGAGTGCTGGGATTACAGGTGTATGCGTCATTCTGAGGTTGACTACCCAGTCCCTGGTCCCCATTTTGAAATTCTCTAAGAACTGGAATTCGATGGGCCTGCATCATCTCTTCAAACCAGTCACATAGATCAAAGTCACTGAGTGTGACATGGTTCACCTTTGTGTCAAGTGCTTATCCCAACCAAATAACCATTCTACACATTTTCTCCAAGTGATGAGATCTTTTTCCATGAGGCAGCTGTGAATAATCAACCCCCGCCTAGACTTTCAAATCTTTATTGCTGTGTGACAAGCTACCTCAAAATTTAGTGCTTAAAACAATATCAACTTGTTATTTTTCATGATTCCGTCAGCTGGCTGGGCTCAGCAGGAAGGTGTCACTGCTCCTGTCGGCTGGAGTCACATAGCTGTATTACCCTGAGAGTGAACCCTGGGATGGAACCAAGATGGCTTCACTCATATATCTGACAATTGGTCCTGAAAGCCACTTAGGAAGCCTCAGTTCTCCTCTACTGGGTCTCCTCCTCCTCCCTCCTCTTTGTTCTCTTTCTTGTGCTGGAAATTGAGCCCAGGGCCTCACACATGCTAAGCACAAGCTCTATCCCTGAGCTACACCACAGCCCCTCGCCTGGATTCTTAATCTGCAGGGCCTCTTCTCACCACGTGGATTTTTCTGTTGTTGCTGTGGTTGTGACATGATCTCACTACATAGTTCAGGCTGGTGTAAAGCTCACAGCAATCTTCTTGTTCCAGCCTCCCAAGTACTGAGATTACAGGCGTATGCAACCCCTCCCCCAGCTACCACATGGCCCATTCAGCACATTTCCATACATGATAGCTGGCACCAGGAGGACAGAAATGGAATCTTCAAGGTCCCTTAAGCTTGGAAATCATCACATCATTTCTATTCTAAAAGGCCCGCTCCAACAAGACTCCATCTCAAAGTGGAAGGAGTCACTGTCACATCACCCAAAGGGCAGGCAAGATGGAAGAAGCTTGGGGGCCCCTCCCGAAAATTTCCTACCAAGTCAGGAGAAGGACAAGTCTACTGTTTTGTCATTATTATTTCTCCCTTCCTCCCACACAAGATATGTTCTTCCCAGGACATGGTGGAGGCTGTGCAGACCCCTCCCTTCTGTAGCTCCTTCCCCCAAACCAAGGCTGCCCTGGCTAAACCAGGCTTTTTTTCTGCTTCTCTATCATTTCCTTTACCTGTATCCTTCCCTCATCCCCTGCACACCTCTAAAGATTCTGTCCTCTTCTGGGCCTTGTGCCTTCCGACCGGTGATAGTCACAGTACAACCCTAGAATTCCAAAATGATGACCTAAAATCCTTTGGTTTAGAGGCTCCACTTCTACCCTGCCTCCCTCCTCAGATGTGTCTTTTTTTAATTTTCGTTTTCATTGGTACACGCTTGCAGTACACAATTATTACGTTCATCGCTGACCTGCAGCCCCTTGGAAACATGCAACTGCCCTTTCCAAACTCCACTGATGGGTCCTGGAAACGTGTGCCCTCTGCTGGCTACCAAAGCGGCCAGCAAGAATCTGGGTGCGGTGCTGCGTCCCTGGGTGCCCTCCAGGGTCTGGGCTCCCGGCGAAGCCAGGGGACATAGTGTCACCATAGACTTAAAAGGCTCCTCTGCTGTGGTGTGCACGATCTGTCCTCCACTTGCTCCCACTCGGGGTCGGAGCTGTCCATCAGCCACTTCCTACTGCTGATCATCTGTTCAGGATCTCAGGGTCCTGGCATCAGAGGGGACAGAGGAAGAGTTTTTTGTGGGCTGTTTTGGGGGGAGGGATTTTAGTTTTTTATTTTCTCATTTGGGGATCATTATTGGGCGAAGAAGAAGAGTTGCGAGGCCTTCCCTATCTGGGTGCTCTTGAGCAGCACCCCGACCACTTCGAGTCCGCAGCAGCTACCAGCAGGGTGTCAAGCCCCCTCCTCCGGGACCTCTCGCGTTTTGTTCCCGGCTTGGCGCGATCGGGGATGGAGAGCCCAGCTGTCTCCTAAAACACACGCATTGCAGCTGGACACAGGCGACCTCGAGAGTCGGCTTCCCGGGCCCTCCGCGGGGGCGGCGCCCGCTCTCACGCGCCCTCCCCGCCCTTTCTCGCGCCCGGCGTCTCCAGTTTGCAGCCGCCTGCGAGCTCCGAGCCACCGCCTACTCCGGCCGGGTCAGAGGATGGAGCCCGGGGAGCCCCGGGAGCCCCGGGAGCCCCAGGAGCCCCGCGAGCCTGGGCTAGAGGCAGAGGCCGCCGCGACCCCGCACTGGGAGAAGGCTAACAGCGTCGCTCCCAAGAGGAAACCCAAATTGGTAAGAGCAGTTGATGGGTCCGAGGGGTCGGGCAGAGAAAGGGTCACTCCTAGGAAGCGGTTGCCAGGCCCGGGAAGGGACCCACAGCGCCGCTCCGGGAGGGGGCGCAGTCTTCAGACCCAGAATGCGCCGGGCACTTGGCGCGCTCTCGGGTTTATTTCGGGAGCTCTGCATTGGCTGTGCTGCTGATGGCGTTTTCTTACCCCGGGGCTCGGGTTCCACGCCAGGACCCCCTCCCCCATGCTGTCATCGGTGCCCAGCTCCGGGCCACCGTCGTTCCTGCCCCCTCCGCTCAGACAGCCGGGCGCGCGGACTGCACTTGTTGGCAAAGGCGCCTCGGACTTGGGTAACCCGACTCTGGAAACCTGGCTGTTCGCTGGACGCTTGGATCTCCAGCACCTGCTCTGGGGCTGAGGCTAGGGCCCGTCACCCGGGTACTGGCGCCGCAATTTCTGCCTCTCAAAAGAAGGGAGCTTCTCGCGCGCTCTCTCGCTCTCTCTGCGACCCGCGCTCTTCGCCCCAGGCTCTGGGTTCCCAGGACAGAGCTTTGACTCCAGCTGCGAGCGCTGCTCCCGTCCGCGATGAACAGTAATATCCTGGCGACCTCTGTGCTGGCATCAGAGCTCTGAGATCTCTGCAAAGAGTGCCTCTGTCCTGTGGGACAAGTTCTCGATGAAGTACTTGGTCTGCCCTTGGCTTGTTCGCTCGGGTTTCCCAGACCTCAGAGCTTGGGGAAGGAACTGAGGACCAAGGCATCCTCCAAAGACCTCCAGTCTCGCTTTCGAGCATCTGGATGCCATTCCTGGGCCCTCTGCAGGCCTGGGCTCACGCGTGGGGATTGACATATTAATTAAGCTGTACTCTTGCCCCAGGAGGTCACAGCGCACCAATGGAGGCTCTGGAGATGGTGGATGCCCAGGTAAAAAGATGCTACATGGCTCCATGGGAGGAGCATAGAGCAGGAGCGACTGCTGGCTGGTCAGGGAGGGCCTTGTGGAAACAGCATCTAAACTGATCTTAATGCCTCCGCGGCTGGGGTTCTCAGGCAGAGGGAAACAGGATGGGAGAAAAACAGGAGGGCTGTATTAGGGAATCCATACTGAGCAGGAGGCAGGACTGTTGGGGGAGAGCTGGGGTGGGGTGGGGGAGCACGACCTTATTACCTTATTAAGGAGCCTGAACCTTCTCAATGGGGTTGAGGTTTTCAAACTAGATTCAGTGGAACTCATGTTTCAAGAGATTGGTGGACATGGGAATCCAGCTTAAGTTTTTCTTCTAGTTGTATACTTTGTTTTTAATTTAATTTTTATTAGTATGTGTTTGCGGTACGTAATGATCACATTCACCGTGGAGAGTTGGTCCATGGGCACAGTGCATCTTTTTTTTTCCATCTCCTGCGCCTCCCAGCCCTCCCTGCTCCTTCCAACTCTTGGTGCCCTTCTCATTTGCAAAAGATCTATTTCCAATTTTTTCTTTTTCTTCTTTCTTTTCTTTTTGCTGTTGTTGTTGGTGGTGGTGGCGTTTTTTGTTGTAGTTGTTGTTGAGACAGGGTCTCACCACGTAGCCCAGGCTGGCCAAAAATTTAGTGATTCTCCTACCTCAGCTTCCCAAGTGCTGGGATTACAGGCATGTGCCATGACACTCCGCTCCATTTTTTCTTTAATTCTTTTCTTTTCTATCCCCTTTCCCTGCTTCTCTCTTCCCCTTCCAACTGTTATTCTCCTTTGAAAAAGATCTCTGTACTTCTTATCAGCTATCTTTTATTTTGCTTTTTACTTATATCCTGGATTTCTCATATAAGAGGAACCCTGGGATAGTTAAGCTTGTGTGACTGATTCAATTAATATTATGGTCCAAAGGTGCATCCATTTACCTATTCGAGTTTACTGTTCTTTATGGCAGAGTAGTGCTCTCTAGTGAGTAAATAACACATTTTCTTTATCCATTCATCTGTCAGTGCCACACAGCCCATCCCCAAAATTTAGCTATAATGAATTGTGCTGCTATAAACATATGTGTGCATGTGTTACTGTAATATAATGACTTTAATTCGCTCAGCAAGATACCTAGAAGGGAATAGCTAGGACTAATGAATTCCCACTTTAGTGGGAATATAGAGAATCTCTATATTGATTTCAACAGAAGTTGTACATTCCTACCAACAATTCAGAAGAGTTCTTCCCTACCCCTATAGTCTCATCAGTAATTGTTATTTGATTTCTTGATGATAGCCATTCATAAGATGGAATCTCAGTGTTATTTTAATTTGCACTTATCTAATGCCCAGTGATGTGGAATATTTCTTTCTGTATTTAGTGGCCATTTATACTTCTTTTGAGTAGTGTCTCTTCATTTCGTTTGCCCATTTTTTGATTGGGTCTTTTATTCGGGGTGGTCTAATTTGTTCGAGTTCTTTATATATTCTAGATGTTAATACTCTATCTGAGAAATAGCTGGCAAATTTGTTTTCCATTCTGCAGGCTGTCTCTTCATTCTGTTGATTGTTTCCTTTGCTGTGCAGAAGCTTTTTAATTTGATGTGATCCCATTTGTTGAGTCTCAGTAATTCTTGTGCCACTGGTGTTCTGTTCAGAAATCAAATTAAATTTTAAACAATTATATTCAAATGTGTTTGTTGGACATTTCAGCACCTTGGAGACCACTAACATTAACTTGCGGTGCAGATTATTTTTTAGCAAACCCCCAAATAAAGCTTTTCCTGTGATTCATTTACTAGAAATGCATCTCAGGATTGCAGGACTTGCAATTTAAAACAAAACAAAATTTAAAAAACATCTTCCCATTTGCAATCACTTCTTAGAGTGAATCAGGACTTTCTCAATACTGTGCAAAAAGCAGACAAAAATAAATCAGCTGGATGCTGAAGTTTGAGACTGCTAGTCTCAAATTTATGGTCCTTTGAACAACTGTGTTGTTTTCAGTTGTTGACTTTATAGCACATTTATTTATAATATACTTTTCAATTTGTAAAATAGACATACTAGCTATATTATATGGTAGTAGCTGATTTACATATTGGGGTTCTGCCTGAGAAATCAACAGAATGAAATGTCAACCTACTTTAAAAAATAAACGTGAAAACCATGATAGAGCAGGCTTTTTCAGCAGGGGATTAACTTGGCCCCATTTTCATTCTAGAAAGATCACACAGGGCCGTTCATGAGAAGGATTGTGACGGGTGGGCCTGGCAGCAGCGAACTGGTGAGAAGACAGAGCCAGGCCACTGTCACACACAGCCTGAGGGGTAGAGAGGAGGACACTGGAGCCTGGAATAGTGAATGCTTTAGTGCTCAAAATCCTTTCCTCCGTAGCACCAAGGAAGCAACAAGCTCAGGCCCAGCCATTGGTGACACACGACCCTTTGGTCAGGCCCTGACCCTCATGGTTCTTTAGGACACAAGAAACCTGGAGTTTTCTGGCTCCGGTTCCTCCCTGCAGTCTTCCCACAGCTATTTTGGGGGCGGTAGGCCTCATGGGCTATATCAGGGCCTGACTTGGTGTTGTTCTCATTCCCAGGAGCCTGAGTGAAATATTTAACCGAGAAAAGACCCATTGGAAGCCCTCACATCACAGGATTAGAGGACTTTCTCTGTCCAGAGCTGCCCTGTCCCTGCCTCACCCTCAGCCCTTCTCTCTCTGAGTCTATCCAGAAATAACAGATTTTTGGCTCTGTTCCTATCTCAAATGCAGTAGGCAGAATCATGTTGGTCAGAACAGGAACACGAAGAGAGCTTCTCAGGCGGAACAGGAACACGAAGAGAGCTTCTCAGGCAGGCAGAGATGAAGAAGGCGAATGCTTCTGTTATTCTTCCATCCCCACCCCCAAGCCAGTGATCAGCCTGGGCCTCAGCCCAGGGTAAGGGAGAGAGCTGGCAGGATCCTGGCTTCCTGGAGGTGCTTCTCACTGCTGCTCCCCAATCTGGATGGGGAGCCTGGGGAAGTCCTGAGGGAACTAGGTAGCTCCTGAGGAAGGCCACAGCAGGTGGACTGCCAAGTGGACAGAGTCCAGGCTAGACGGCAGAGACTTGGTATCTGGTATCAGCACTGCCTTGGTTTTGCTGTATGACATAGAGACTATCTTGCCCCTCTCTGGGCCTGTGTCCCCATCTGTAAAAGAAGGAAGTAAAGATTCCTGAGGCCAACGGCTGGAGGGGGCCCAGGACTCAGCAGTCAGGCATATATGTAGGACAGAAAGTGGAGAATGAGACACTGGCTGGCTGCCTGGATCAGAGCGGCTGCTTGGGAACCTGCCTGGAGGGGCTGGAGAGCAACTAGCCCTGTCCTTGAGGAGGAGGATGGGCTTGTTCTGGGCCAGTAAGCCCAGGAGGCTGGGGTGGGAGTGGGGGTGGTGAGCTCAGCCCCATCTGAGACCCAGGGTTTGCCGGAGTGGATCTGTCCACCACCTCTGAGCCTGCCCTGGCCATCCTCGGCCATCACTCTGTTGCCCCTTTCCTTTGGGGCTTATGATTTTAGCCTCTTTGTTTGAAGAGCCACAGTCGCTGATGGGGTTGGGATGTCCTGGCCCAAGGACACACAGACACACAATCATGGTCAGCACCTGGACGAGGCACTTGGGCTGAGTCTCTGAGAGAGAATACCTGTTCCCTCACTGCCTTCCCCTGGTCCCGCCGGCCACATGCACTGTCTTGGTTGGAGTCAAAGGCCACAGATAAACTGAGGTCAGTCACCAATCTTAGGGCATTCTTCACTTTTCCATTTCTATTTTAGGGTTCTAGAGCTTACTAACCTCTGTGCCTACATAGCTAGTTAGATTTATTAAAATCAAATGAAATTAAGGATTTAGATCTTTAATCACATCTCAGGTTGCTAAAGTCTGGGACACTATGGAACATTCATTCTGTTATCACCGAAGTTCCACTGGGCAGGCTTTCTGGAGAATGGTGTGAATTGGTGTTAGGGGTGGATCATAAGCTTCTTGGGGGCCAGAATCGAACCTGCATTGTTTCCTGTTATGTCCCCATCAGGTGTCTGTCACATGGTAACTTATCAATGTTGTCAATCAATTGAAGTCCAGGCTTAGTGCCCAAAAGAAGCAGTAGGTTGGGCAAGTCTCTTAGATGCATGCTAGAAAACAAGGCCCTTTTATGACTCTTGACCTCCATTTGAGTCCCCCTCTCATGTGTTAAGGAGGAATCATGATCCTAGAACTGCCTGGTTACAGCGATTTGTGAGGCCCTTGAAATCCTTAAGCCCCTTGGATGCCCACATTCGGAAGCTGTGCAGAGGTTAGAAAGGGTGTGGCTATAGTCTGCAGTGGCCCTGCTTTTCCTTGTCCCATCAGAAGTGGGTGTCTTAGTCCCTTTGAGCTGCTATAACAAAGTGCCATAGACTCGGTATCTTATTCTGTAAACAGCAAAAATTTATTTCTCACAATTCTGGAAGCCAAAAACCTGAGATCACGGTCCCAGCAGACTGGTGTCTGGCAAGGGACCTTTCTAGTTTAAACATGGCACCTTCAAGCTGTCCTTACATGGTGGGGCAGGCGAATCAAGCTCTCTGGCATCTCTTTCATAAGGACACTAAACTAGTCACAACCTAATCACTGCTAATAGGCCCCAGCTTTTAATACCATCACCTTGTGGGCTAGGTCTCAATGTATACATTTTAGGGAGACACAAACAACTGGACATAGTGGCGGGGAAGGAGTTCTAAGGCCCTCCCAGAATCGCTGAAAATGCCTCTTGCGAACTAGCACCTGCCTACCTTCCTGGCTCAGTGACACCCTCCCCGTGGGCCCTGGGCTCTGCTTACCTTTGCAGTTGCCTCTTCCTCCTTTCCTTCACCCTGCTCCTCTTTGAAAGCTCTCCTCAAAGGCCTCCTGTCCTCTGACAACTCCCCCGAAGCTGTATCATCAAGGTCTTGCTTCAGCCTTTGTCTCTGAGTTAGTTCTGATTCCATCTTTTCCACCAGTCTGTGAACTCCAAGGGCAGCAACCAGCTTTCCAGGTGCTTGACACAAGGAAGCAATAAGTGTTTGTCAGATTTACATCAACCACAAAGGATATTCTCTGATCACCTGCTTTATATGTCAAGTAATTGGAAAAGAGGAGGGAGAGTACCACCCTGGAGCTTCTAGTTCATGTGAAGTTTGTCATTGCATGCACTTTTTCTTGAATATGTTCAATGTATACTAGAATATATTAAGAGTTCAGAGGCATTAAAAGTTTGCCGAGGGCTGTTCCATGCCACTAGAGATATGATAAGGACCACAAGACACATCGTTCCTGCTCTCACAACATACGCAGGATTCCTGCCTCCTCCCTGGAACTCTGCCTAGAAAGAAATAATTAAGCAATTCTAATTTAATGTTAAGTTGTACTAGGAAGAAAATCCCTAGGATGGGTGTCAGATGGAGACTATGGCGAGGGCAGGCTTCCTGGAGGTGAATCTAATTTGAGAGCTGAAGGTTAAGTATATGCTAGCTAGGTAGACACAACAGGAAGTAGTATACTAGGGAAGACAACATCATGTGTAAAGGCGCAGAGGAAGAGGGGGTCTCGGAGGTGAGAAAAGTCGGACTGAGCAAAGCTGGGAAGGGGAGTCTGTGAGGAAAGAGAAGTGGGAGTGTGTTGGGAAGGGCTTCCAGCCCCACTCTAAAGGCTGCCAGCTTCACTCTGAAAAGAGCTGGCACTGCTGAGGCAGTGGGCTGTGAGCAGTTCTGCACTTCAGAAAAATCCCCTGGCAGCGGCGTGCGTGGGAAATTGGAGGAGGTGAGAGATGACGGTGACTCTGGACTGTGGAAAGCACAACAGAGAAGCAGAAGGGCTCCGGGAGCATGGACTGCATTGGGCGATGACTGATGGGGAAGGGAGCCAAGGAAGAGCGGGGAACTGACTGACTTCGGGTGGCAGCTTATGCAGAGTGGTGTTGTCAACTCATCCAGTGGAGGTCTGGGCGGGTGGAGGGCGGTGCTGAGTCCTGAGATGAGGAAAAGAGGAAGGGATTGGGCTTGGAGGTGGGAATTCAGCCTTGGGCGTGGTGCATTGGAGGTCTGATCGCCAACTGGGGCAGTGAGATATGTGAGTCTAAAGCTCAGGACACAGATCTGGAAGGGAGATAAATTTTCTTATGTGATCACTGTGTTCCTGGACACCAGTTTCTTCCTAAGGGCATGTGGCTCTTATTTCATAATGGTAACCATCTGCAGATCGTCTCAGGCATCACCCATACTTGGCCCTTGTACCCTGGATTCATTATTCCTTTATGTTCAGATAGCCACCTAGATTGCAAACTCCCCAAAGGCATGGCCCTTCTTTAGATCACACTTCTAAGCGGAGAGTCATCCTGCACTGCGGTCCCCAGCTGGCTTCTGTGTGGGAGCAGACCTAAGTCTGCCCCTTCCCGAGGCTGAGCCTTTTTGCAGCAAAGTCTGAGCCCGGGTCTTCTCCAAGTCACCAGTTCCCGGAGAGGCTTGCACATGAGCACCTGCCTGTCCCAGGGAGCTTCTGAGTGACTTCCTCCTGCACCTCCGCAGCCCAAGCCTCAGAACGCTGTCACCATCGCTGTGTCCTCCCGGGCCTTGTTCCGCATGGATGAGGAGCAGAGGATCTTCACGGAGCGGGGTGTGGAGGAGTATGTGCGCTACCAGCTGCAGCACGAGAATGAGCCTTTCAGCCCCGGGCCAGCCTTCCCCTTTGTGAAGGTGAAGGGCAGTTCCAGCAGCAGTCTACCTTGTGCCTTGGTGGGGTGAAAAAAAGCACCCCTGTGGGTATCTGGGTAATGAAAAGAAGTCCCCTCTGGGCAGTACAGCCCGACAAGGGTCAGACTTGGCAGGGGGTGGGGGACGCAGCCCTTGTGAGAGGGCTCACCCCTTCTCTGAACTGATGCAGCTCTCCCCAGGTAATCCTACTCCTTATACTGAGGTGCCCCCAAGCAGCAAGCTACCTCCACCCCCACCCCCAGTGATGGCAGAGAATGGCATTAGGAGGTAGACCACCTGCCCTGATCTCATCCTAAGCCTCCTCCCATCCCCTTTTGCATCTTGGGCCATCGAGTCCAGGTGTCCATCCTGGGAGTTCAGAGCTAGAGCGTGCCCTCTTCCCTCCCTTCCAGGCTCTGGAGGCTGTGAATCAGCGGCTCCGGGAGCTGTACCCCGATAGTGAAGACGTCTTCGACATCGTCCTCATGACCAACAACCATGCTCAAGTGGGAGTCCGCCTCATCAACAGCATCAACCACTACGGTGAGGCAATGGCTCTGGGCAAGGGGTGACCCTCCCGCGCCCCCTGGCGGCGGGATCCGGTAAAGCAATCCTTTAAAAAAGCCGAATGAACAAGTCTGATCTGAAATTACCAGTTTTCAGGATATAAATACGCCCACCATGGCTGATTTCAAGCTATCGATGTTGATTAAGATAGCTAGCTCACAGAATCCCTGAATGTTTCACCATCAGTTCTTTCGAGCCAGCTGCAGCACAATGCGCAGGGCCCACTCCTTGGTGTGGGAGCAGGGCGCTGGCTGCCTCTGCACCTTGCCTGTCTTCCTGTGATGACCAGTAAGCCTCGCAAGGCTGCGGGGAGAGTCAGAAGCCGCTGTCATAGTGAAAGGGCTTCTCTGTTTTAGTCAAGACTGGGTACTACAAGGGCAGACACTCTCTAGCTACCTCCAGCTGGAGGGAATTGCTCCTTGGATCCAGGGTATCTCAGAACCGCAGAGCAAAAAGTAAAGTTGGAGCCACAAAGGCTTGAATCCAAGTCCTGGAAATCTCTTTTGCGCTCTTCTTGGAGCCACATGGACCTTCACTTGTGCTTGTTTAGCAAGCTCATGCCTTTGTTCTTTGTTTGTTTGTTTTTTTTCTGTCTCTCTCTTCCCAAATTGGATTTCTTTGCCTTTCTGAATACAAAAACCAAGAAAAGCAGGGAAATCCAATTTGGGGAGAGACGGACAGAAAAATAAACCCATCTTTATAAAGGCTTATGAGACCTTGGGTTTTTTGTTTTGTTTGGTTTTTTTTTTTGTTGATACTGGGGGTAACTTATGACCTCACACTTTCTAGGCAGGTACTTATGCCACTGGGCTAAATCCCCAGCCGTATAAGACCTTGTTTTAAGCACCTAAGAGGGTTTAGTTGACTTGGTTTTATTTATTTATTTTGGGTGCCAGGGATTGAAAGCCAGGATCTCAGGCATGCTAAGCATGTGCTCTAACACTTAGTTACACCCCTAACCCTCCCCCTGCTCACATTTTTAAATACTAATTTTAAACTCCTGGGATGAGTGATGGTATTAAAAATACTTGACTGTTGCCAGGTGTATTCGTGCATGCTTGTAATCCCAGCACTCAGCAGGAGCATTGCGATGAGTTTGAGGCCAGTGTGGGCTACACAGTGAGTCCCAAGGCCAGCCTGAATTACATAGCAAAACCCTGCCTCCAAAAACAAAAACAAAACACACCTGATTACTTGTGTAACGGGTGCTGAGCAATAGGGACAGATATCACACAGAGTACCAATGCAAGGGCCCCTTCTGGGGTAGACTGTGAGGAGCTCAGGATCCTGGATCACTTAGTGGGCTCAGGACAGCAGCCATGTATCACAGCAAATATTACAGCCTGTGCTGCCGTGGGGACTACTGCCTGTCAGCCCAGGCTAGAAGAGAATCTGGTTGATATGACTGGGTGAGGTGGGGTCTGCCACTATCCAATCAGCTGTGGCCAGGAGGCAGGGTCCCAGTGATGGCCAGAGGATCTATCTGTAATTCCCTGATATGAAGGGGTTGTTGTGAGCCAGGCAGTTGCTCCAGAGATGCAATCATTCCCATCGCATGGATGAAGGATGGAAGGACTCAGAGGGGCTACATGGCCTAAAATCACAGAGAATCACTCTGCTGCCCTCCCCAATGGCACTCATTAGGTACGGAGAGATCATTCTAGAGCCCTGAGGTTGGCCCCAGCCTCACTTGGATACACTCTGTCTCCTCCCCAGATCTGTTCATTGAGAGGTTCTGCATGACAGGTGGGAACAGCCCCATCTGCTACCTCAAGGCCTATCACGCCAACCTCTACTTGTCAGCTGATGCAGAAAAAGTGCAAGAAGCTATTGATGCAGGTGAGTCAGAATGAAAAGGGAGGACATGAGAAGTCCAGCCTCAGCACCCTGGAGATAAAAGGCCTGATCCTGCATCTCTGAACAGGCACTAGGGGTTGCTGTGGTAACTGGAGGGATATTGTGATAAGTTCCTATGATCTGTCTTATAAACTCTGAAAATAAGGTCCTACTCAGTCCACCTCCTCACTTCCTGCCTCGCTGGGGTAAGGATGCATTTGCTCATCATCATCCAGCTTTCCGTTTCCATAGAAACCCTCCTTCTACAAGTCCTCCAGGGCACTAGGAATTCTGACTCCTGTGTGAATATGGGCAGCCTCTGTCTCTCTCTTTAGGGCAAAGGCAAAAGGGCCCAGCTTAAGTGATGGGCTCTGAGAAACGGCCGATGTTTCCAGAAGCTGGGCTTGAGGTGAGGTTAGACGACCTAGCTTCAAACACTGACAAAGCGGAATTCTGTGCACTGCCTTTCCGAAGGGCAGTTTCCAGTGGTAGCCATGTGGACAAGGAAGAACAGCCCTGCTGCCTGAGCAGGCACCATGGGTGAACACGAGTGACAGGATGTCACTTTTCTTTGTCTCTTTTATGTTATTTCCTGTCCAGAAGCCTGGCCACTCTTCCAGTGCCTCTCTCCTGAGCTTTGTGAGGCTTTCTTTCACCAAAGGCCAGAAAGCCCCATTTGCCTAAAGAGATGTCAAATCCATTAGTTGAGGCGGGGGCACCAGCGTATAGCCATGCCTTTGTGTGTCTGCAGCTTGACCTCAGTCAGACAGCAGGTCTGTGTGGAGTGGGGGCCCTGCTGAGCATAGGGTAGGCTCGGTTTGGCAAAGCTGAGAAAGTGCCTGACCTGCAGCCCATGGCCTGGTCCTCCCTGACACCCGGGGCTAGTGAGGTTGTGGTGATGCTTGTCCTGCTCCATCCTCTCAATGCTTGGCAGAGACCTCACTGGATTCCCTAAGAGCAGGGCAGAAGTGGCCTTTGGGAAGAGATGAAAACAGGAGACAGATTCGGCCATCTGCCAGGCATCCTGCTGTCCAGGGCAGCTGGAGTCAGGTGTGGCTAGGCCACTCACTGGGACCTGAGTGGGGAGGCTACCTTGTGTTGCGTGTATCTGGGTGCCACTGTGACCACATGGGGCTCCCACAGAACTGAGTGGCCCTGAATAATTTTACCCTGGCCCCGGGAAGGTCAGTGACTTGTCAGAATCAGCAGTGAGGGGTGAGTTTGGCCCAGCCAGAATGGACTCCTTGCAGCCCGCTTATATATCATGCTGGGGGCCTATGAGGGACCCTGACCATGGCCTGGGGTCCCTTCCTCCAGGACTGTCATGTGCTGATCCTCACAGCATGGTCTTACTAGGCAACTAAGTACTGACTCCTTCACACTGTTTGCTAAGTAGCTACTGCCTTGAGTCCCTGAATATCCTCCTTTCCCGAGGCCCCCCCACAAAACAGCCACTTAATGGGTGACCCAGGTATAGGCAAGGGCCTTCAAAGCCCTGCCTCAAAGTGCTGGCTTTGTTGGTTTGTTTGTTTTGGTATCAGAAATTGAACTCATAACCTCGCACTTGCCAAGCAGGTGTTTATGCCACCGAGCTAAATCCCCAGCCCTGCTCATTTTTGTGGGGGTGGGGGGTTGATTTTGTTTTTTGTTTTGTTTTTAAGACAGGGTCTCACTATGTAGTTCAGTCTTGAACTCACTACATGGCTCAGATTGTCCTTAAACTCATGGAGATCTTCCTGCCTCAGCCTTCCAAGAGCTGGGATTATAGACATGTGCCACCACACCTGGCACCTGTCCATTCTTATGGTCAGTGTCTTTGCACATTGTTAGTTTTTAGATAACTTTAGCACTATCCCTCACCAGCCATTCCCTGGGTCCTGGAGGAGCAGCAGGCACAGGCACAGACAGAGACTTCTCTCTTGTTCCTAGGCAGGGAGCCCTATTGCCCTGCCTGAAAGCAAACAATGCTTGCCTCTCTCTGCCCAGGGATCGCAGCTGCCACCATCTTCAGCCCCAGCAAGAATGTGGTTGTGTCTCAGACGCAGCTGCGCGTGGCCTTCGATGGAGATGCTGTACTCTTCTCCGATGAGTCAGAGCGCATCTTCAAGGCTCAGGGGCTGCATGGGTTCTTCGAGCACGAGAAGGCTCATGAGAACAAACCCTTGGCCAAGGTATGCATGTATTTTCTTTATATAAATTTTTTTTACATACCTCTTTTCCAGATCCAGGTCAGGATCAACTCAGGAGTCCCTCAAATTCCCTCACCAAGCCTCAGGCCCTCATCCTGGTTCCCATCCTTGGATCCCCATCCCCTTCACTGCAGTCCTCCCCTCATGAGACCCCCAGAATCCCTCTAATCCCCTCTCTGGAGCCCTTCTCTCTCTTGATGGCTCCAGTCCCCTTTCTGAGGTCCCCATCCCTCTTCAGCCGCCACCTTTTGAGTCCTCTGTCTCTCTGAAGCCAATGTCCTATCTCTGGAATACTCATCCCTTCTCTGGAATCCACCTCCCCCGCCGCGAGAAATTCTCATCTCCCCAGAAGCCCCTGTGTCACTCCCTGGAGGACAGGAAGTGCTGGATGGGCACTGGCTCTGGGCAGGGAGGTCCTGTTGGGGGCGGAGGTTGGAGCTGACTCTTCCAGTGGACCACCAAGAGCCAATCCTGGGTAGGGGGGCCCGGGGATCCTCCCTCATCCTCAGGCTGTTCAGCGCCTCTCTAAGAATGGATTGTGTCCTGGAGCTTGGTGGAGATTCCCTGGGGATGGACTGTGTGGTTTTCCAGCTCTCCTAGGAGTTTTGCACAAAAATCCAGACATTCAGAGCCAAGCAGTTTTCCCACTAAGTGAATGTCAGAGGCAGAAGAAACCACAACTGACTCCAGGTCACTCAGCAAGGAACAGGTCTCCAGGACAAGAAACCTACCTTTCCTTATTTCCAGCTGTCCTCTCTGAGATACCTGGAAGCTTTTCTTCATCACCATCAGGCTCTTTGCTCATATATCCATGTTAAGCTTCATTTTCTGGGCACCATAGAGAAAAAAACACACACTTCTCCTTGACCTTGGAGAGCTTGGACAAGACACCCTGAGCCAGCTGTGTGTCCATGAGCAGGTTTGCAGTCAGCAGTTACACATGCGCCCGTCAGCCCACGTGTCTGTGGCTGGAATTCACTCTGACTGGAAGGTGAATGTACCATAGTTACTAATTTTAATATCTTCCCTGCTGGTAACCACAGAAGACCACACTTAAGAGAGGCACAGATAGGTATCTGCAGATAGGGACACGGATGGATGTGCATAGCAGCAGCAGCCCTGCTGTGGTTATTCTGACCTAGCTCCAGTCACAATAAGATTGATCCCACGCTGTGGGTCCCTATAGCTCTACTGATGCACAGGGGAGCCCAAGTTAGTGCAGCAGAACTGCCAGAGAAATTAGGGGTCATGAGAGGTTTTTCTACTCCAAACAGCAAAATACAGATGCTCTAGGGAGGGGGCAAATGTTTGGGAGAACCGAGCTCACTGTGTTCCCTTGCGTGCTCCTAGGGCCCATTGAAGGGCTTTCTGGAGGCCCTGGGTAGACTGCAGAAGAAGTTCTACGCCAAGGGCCTGCGGCTGGAGTGCCCAATTCGCACCTACTTAGTGACGGCGCGCAGTGCAGCCAGTTCCGGGGCCCGAGCCCTCAAGACCTTGCGCAGCTGGGGCCTGGAGACAGATGAGGCCTTGTTCCTAGCCGGAGCACCCAAAGGTCCCGTCCTTGAGAAGATCCGCCCACACATCTTCTTTGATGACCAGATGTTCCACGTGGCCGGAGCTCAGGAGATGGGCACGGTAGCCGCGCACGTGCCTTACGGTGTGGCACAGACACCCCGGCGAACTTCACCTGTGAAGCCAGCTCCGCCTGTACAGTAACTGAGCTGTCTGCTCCAGGTTTCTAGTCTGATGAAGCTCCTAGTTCCCCACCATCCTGCCCTCCTGCATGTCTGTCCTCATCCTTTTGAGTGGGGTGTTCAAAGGAATTTTGATGGGCTGGGCCAATATTCTCACTGTAGCTCCTTTTGGGCTCTTATGCTATGGTCCTGGCCAGGGCAGCAGGACAGTGCAGAGTAGCTGGATTTCAGGGACAAGTTCCTGGGCCTCAGGGCAGTAGGGTCCAAGAAGCCAGGATGCCTCAGAAGGAGCTTGGGATAGAAACTAGCTCAAAGAACACTGCTGTGAGACGGGGTGACTCTAATATCTAACCTCTGCTCCGGCACACACAGCATGATTTTGGTCTTCCCAGGTTTTAGGTAGTTTTCAAACTCCCTTAGTCCATGAGATGTGGTTTTTACAAGACAGCCCTTTGAAGGGGGCAGTCTGTGCAGGGCTGCTGTATGCACCTGTATGCGGATGACAGAAAGGCACTCTTCCAGGGGGAAGGGCAGCCTCCTTCTGGCCCAACCCAGTCCCATGTCGGGTTACACGACTCGTTATTAAGATGCAGGCTGGATTTCAGCCCCACTCACCTCTTAGCCTAGAGCCCTTCGTCAAGTGGCAAATGCCTATCTATTTTACATTTTCAAACCACAGGACAAGATACCCTATCTACTTCTTGTGCTGTTCAGACCTAAGCCATCAGGATTCAGTGGCCAGGTACAAGGTTTGCCTAAAGGAGCCAAGGGAGTGATTTAGCCTTCATACAAATTCTCCTCCGGCCAGGAGGAGGCGCTGCAGACCCTTCGTAGGGAGGAGATTTTGTGGCTGTCAGTACAGCATTTCCTTTTGCCTCGGCTTTTAGCCAGAGTTCAGTTGTCCTGCCAGCCCACCTCCCTCTCAGCTCTGAAAGACCCAGTCATGGCATCCTTCTGTGCTTTTAGGCAGCTCTGCCAGGAGAGAAAGATGGGAAAATCTGTGGCCACAGACATGTGGGAGGAGAAAGCCCAGTGTGTGAAAATGGGCAGTTGTCAGGAGGCCTGATCTGAGGCAGAAGAAACTGAGGCACTGATGGCTCAGGCAGGAAGTTGCTGAATGCACAGTAGCAAAATTCTCCCACTGTGGATGGAATCAGAACTGCCACTGAGCTCTCGGTCACGGGGCTTCTGGGATGAAATACCTCCCTGAGGCATACCAGGGACTCCTCCACTCTTGCAGGAGCACCTTCTGCCCTACTTTCCGGGGAGCATGCTAATGTCCTGATAGACCAGCCTTCCCCTTTGCTGAGCAGCCCTGGCTCCTTAAGAGGAAAGGTAGAGGCAAGATGGCAGGTCCCATAGAAAGATCGAGAAAGGTAGGAAGACATCTGGGTGTGCACCAGTCGCCCAGTTCCTGCAAGCATCCCAGCTTGCAGTGAGAACTTTGTGAAGAAAACCAAGGGCACCATCTGAGGGGCAGGGGTCTGGAGGCATGGGGTGAAGGGTGATCTGGACAGCCCAGCCCTTGTCCTCCTGAGCACTCATCCCAGAGATGCTGTGTAACCCAAGAACAGCTGCAAGGAGATGACAGGCAAGGAAGACAGAGAGAGATGAGAGGACAGGGAGGGAGTTCAGTCCCAGGTCATCTTCCTCTTACAGGCACCACACAGAAACCCTGTGTTCCCCCTGCTGCCAGGATCACAGTTGGCCTCAAAGCCAGTGACTGCAAGCAACCTGCAAGGCCAGGCACAGCCCGAGCTCACAGAATGGACCTGTGCACTCTGAGGGCAGTGCCAGCTGTCACCTCATTAAAGTGAACTCCAGGGATCCTGGGATCTGTGAGGCCCAGCCTCCAGGGCCTAGGGATGAACACCATAGAGCCTTTCAGGTTGCTCGGGAAGCAGGAAAATAAGGCGCAGTGAAGGTTGTGGATTTCACTGGAGCCACAATTAATGGAAATGGACAGCCCTGGGCAGCAGGGAGACACTAAAGGTCCAAATTCTATTATGGAAACCACAGGTGAACAACTCAAGCCTGGAAAGCAGCTTTCAAACACTGGCATAAAAGGCCAGATGTCCTGGAGGCAGGCTTCAGAGGCAGCCAGACAGGACTTCTGGTGTCTCAAGTGCCGAAGAGAGGCCCAGTGGGCCTAGGAAATTAAAAAGCCATATAAGCACCAAAGCCCCAGGCCAAGGCTCACACTGCATCATTGGGGCTGAGAGGCCACAGCTTCTGGAACACCAGGCCCATTTAGCTGAAAGCACCCTGGTCCCGCAGAACACTGATCTCAGGAAGTGTTGCTATCAAAATCCCAGACCCAGCAGAACTGCCAGAAGAACAGAGCCCTGCTGTTAAACACTGAGACAATTCAGATCATTGCAAAACAGCCCCCGCCCTACCTGAGAGCTCATTCAGAGCAGTGGGAATTTAATGGAACATGCTAGAAAAAATAAAAACCAACAAGAAATTAAAATCCAAGACGGATGCAACGTTTTAATGATTGTGACATTTTAATGACAGTGTGAGTGTGGACCCATACTGTGAAACCAGTTGCAGAAGTCCTAATACAGTTGGTAATTAGCCCTGCCTTAGTGTCCTTTGTGACCCCTGATGCCCTGGCCTTCCACTGTGACCATTCCGTCTTCCCACGGCTGCACCAGCACCACGGCTGGTGTCCACTCTGGTGCCATCCCATCACGCTGGTTTAGGGAGTTCAAGTAACGTAAACAAAGCCACCCAGCTAGTAAATGGTGGTACTGGGACTCCAAGTCAGATCTGTCTGATGCTACAGCCAGGCTCTGCATACCGCATGTACTGCACATGCGTGTTGAAATACTGGAATACATTTGGCTGGGGACACTTTGGTGGGAGCTTCCTAGCGAGCCAACCCATTTGCAGACTTCCCGGAGCACTTCCAAACAACCCCACCTTCTGTGGAACCCAGTTTGAAAACCCCGGATTTGAGCTAATGTGGGATTTGACAAACTAAAAACCCTGAAGCCAAACCTGATGTGCTGCCTATTTTTGTTTTGTTTTGTTTGGAAGCATTATTTTTGTTTTTGAGACAGGGTCTGCCTATGTAGTTCAGGCTGGACTTTAACTCACTGTGTAACCCAGCCTGGCCTCAAATTTGTGGTGATCCTCCTGCTTCAGCCTCTTGAGTGCTAGTGTCACAGACGTGTACCATCATGCCTGGCCATTTGTTTGCTTCTGAGACAGAATCTCACCGTGTATTCCTGGACTTGCACTTCTCTCTTAGCCTCTTGAATGTCAAGATTGCAAGTGAGTGCTACTGCACCCAGCTCGACTCTATTTTTTAACACACCATCTCCAAGTTTTGAGCTGCTGGTTTCGAACTACTGCAGCAGAGTTGAATGACTCCAAGAGACTGCAAGGCCAAAATTATTTATTATCTGGTCCTTCACAGAAAAAGTTTGCTAACCCCTGGGCTAAGGCAAACATCCCTGGCCCAACCCTAGTGGGGCGAATCGGGCCACACCCACCTACACTCAAAGGATGGGAGTTAACTCCAGTGCTGGGGGGCAGGGCAGGGAGGCTCTGTGCCTGCTGACCCTTGCTTGACGTTCAAGGACTTCAGATTCCAAACCATAGTCTCCTGTAATTCCAGTTACTCCAGCAGACTGGGGCAGACAGAGCACAGGTTTTGGGCCAGCCTAGCTGATATAGCAAGATCCTGTCTCAAAAATAAAAATAAATTAACTTGAATAAGATGCCAAGTTTTGATTTTTTAGTGGCTCATGACCTATTGTTATTTGCTACTTAGTTGATGTATGAATTTGATTCGAGTCAAAGTGAGAAGACTTTGAATTGAACCAAGTTGAGAAGCTGATGGCTGAGACTCTGGGGAGCAGGAGCCTTGGCTAGGGGTGAGCTCTGCTTGCTGTCCAGCATCTGCTCAGTGTAGCTTTGTGCTCCCCACATGTCATTGGCCTCGTGGGCAGCAAGGAGTGCTGGTAGGTGGCTGGGGGTTCAGCATACAGCATGGAGAAAGCAAAGTGCCCAGCGTTGACTTCAGCAGCTCAAATCTAACAAGTCCTCCTCGCACGCACTCTGAAAGCAAGAACAAATTCTTTATGAAAAAGGTCCTAGCCGGGCTTTGTCTGGCTTGGAAGCTGCTGATCAAGTGAAATCTAACACCAATGAAAGTCAGAGTGGCAGTTTTCTTGTGCCTCTTGAGTGCTAGTCTGGGCAACAAGCACATCCTCGAGATGGAATTGTGAATCAGAAGAGTCTGGGATCTGCCTCAGAAAAGGGGAGTGTGGAAGCTGTCCCACCCGAGGCTCCGGTGCTGTCACCTTTCCATCATGATAGTTTTCTCCGCCAGGCCCAGACCTGGCCTCGGGGTCGAATTCCAGCATTCCAGGCAGCACCACCAGCTGGCTGGGGAAGGTCTGAGAGATGGGTCCTGTTTGGCCACCCCGTCTTGACATTGGGAATTCTTTTCTGGAGGCGCCGGGTGTCCATTCTCTGATGCTGTGGTGCAACTCCAAGGATGCCAGGATCTCGCCTGCCTCTGGTGGAACATAAAGGAGAGGGAGAGTGAATGAAATTCATGGTTGGCAGCTTCTCTGGACGGAGTGGATACCAGAGAAGGAGCGTGGAGTCTTGCAGTCTTGAAGGAACATGGAAAAAACTCTCTTGCCAGTAGGTGGCACTGCAGGCCAGCACCCAGCTGTTGGCTCTGGTTAGTGTTTTGACTCACTTTTCTCTCCCATGCTACTAGTGCTGTGCTGGTCGCTCCCTACTGAGTAGTTCCAGCAGCCAAAAAGGACCTCAGGTGCTCAGGAAATGTTTGCTAAACATACCTGTGCGATGAGCTGACTGTGCTCACCGATAACTACTGTGATTGTGTATATAGATGCACACATGAGTGTGTACACCAGAATTAAAAATTGTGCATGGAAATGTACCTGTGTGGGTATGTGTAATGACTCAGGCATCTCTGCTGATGACTCCATGTGTGTACGCATGCCTATGTTTGTGTTCCTTACTACAAGTGTGTGCTGATGGTTATCTCTGTCCATTGAGGAATCTGGGCTCCACCTACAGAACTCAGGTACAGTCCTGCTTCTTGGGGCTGTTTCTGGCTCTTCCTGTCATCTCACAGACATTGTATGTGTGTAGACCGGGGGTCACTGAGGCCATTCTGTGCAAACCTCTTCCCTAGCCTCCAGCCTCTAGCCTCTGTCTCTTAATCCTCTCTCATCCTTGGCCTCTTCCATGTTGGGATGGAGGTGGTGGAATCAGCTAGGCAAGTCCTCTTGATTGTACCTGCCTCACTGCCTTACACTTGTTTTTCTCTCCTCCCCACGGTGCCAGGGCGAACACATAGAGTGAGGCTGATCAGCCATGAGAGTCTGAAGGAGCCCATTCACACAATGACTTGGGTGGTTGTTAAATCTGCAGGATCTGCCAGCTGTACACAGATGTCCTGGCCATGTCTAACGGCCGTGGCTGAGAAGTTGACCTTCCTCCCTATCCCCCTGGCCCAGCCCAGTCTGGGCTGGAATTCCTTCCTTTGCTTGGGTTTTGTGTCTGGCCAGAAGTGATTTACCCTTGACCTTGGTTGGGAAGTGTCTCCCTGATGGGCCAGTTCCCCAGAGGACTTAGGGACGTGATGAATGAAAGGGAAATGTGGCTGAGAAGCTTTCCGTTATTCATCCCTGCCAAGTCAGGGCCTCAGAAGGCAAACCAAAGCTCTATAGTTCAGGGTCACTGACTTGTGCACTCTTGGCCTGGGGTGGATGTGCCTTCGTGGGCAGTCTGCTGCTGAGTTAGGGCAAAGGTCCGAGGCTGGACTTGTAGCCACTACCAGTAGAAAACCACTGGGGTTACATAGACCAGGGGTCACAAACTCCAAAGCCTATGGGGGCCAGGCAAAAACCAGAAATGAGCGAAGGGGGTCAACAGGGTCTTTCTGGAGGTAGAAACACCAAGCATCTGACCCACTGCTGCTGCGTGGGAATGCAGACATGGCCAGCTTGCTATTCCACTCAGCTTTTCATGAGGGGCTGGAAATCTGGACTTTCACATGTTGGCAACTCTTTCAGGGCTAGAAAACATAGTGTAAGCCAAAGACAACATATCTTGTGGGCTAAATCTGGTCCTCAGAACTCGTTTGCACCCACTGGCCCAGGCTTGACCAGCCACTTGGGATTTTTCAACCCAAATAACTGTGAGTGAGAGGAGAACACCCTCATAGTCATGGTTCGAGCTGTTCCAGAGGCTTTGGCAATGATATAGTTCATCCCTCGTGTGTTTTAAACTATGTAGTATAAACTTCTTTATTAACGTAATATGCCCACGTCCTTAACTCCTGGTTGCCACTAAACAGTGTCTCAGTAACCCCTGTTTAGAACACAAGTAAGAATAAAACCTTTCTTGGGTGTTGCGGCACATATAATCCCAGCAGTCAGGAGGCCGAGGCAGGAGGATCACCACGAGTTTGAGGCCAGCCTGAACTGTATATCGAGAACTTCTTTTAAAAAAAAATATGAAGCCCTCCCGCATAGTATTACTCGCCTCTCTCTACAGAAGCCCTCCTACCATTCGCTGCCCAGATTTCCCCTCCCTTGACCCCTGTGCTTGTTGTTTCCTATGAGCCCCTTAAGTACCTCCCTGCAGGGACACGGAGCATATGTTTCCTTGGTGCTGTGAATGCCCTCGCATGGGATAACCGTGCATACGCTTTCCCCAGCCTTGGCCCCTGGCCTGCTCACCGCAGTCCCTGGGGCTCCAGCTCTATCTGGCCCCTCACAGAAGGTACCTGGTCACACGATACAGGATGCTACACGCTGGTCAGTGTGGATCCCCTGCACGCCTCCTGTGTGTTCTTTGCCTTCAATTTACAACCTGGGCTTGTGTGTCTTAAAAGCCATTCGAATAAACAGGAGAGATTTTCAATAAATTTATATTGCCTTGGGTTGTTTGATTGTTTGTTTACCACAAGCCAGCATAAGGCCCTTAAGAAATGCTAATGGGCATGCAAATAGCGAACCGGCCTGGAATCAGTCCATGCATTGATGTTAGGGTCTTTGTGTAGCACACACACACACACACACACACACACACACACAAAGGCCACATCATAGGTGTGGTGGTGTATATCTGAAATTCCAGCCCTGGGGAGGCTAAGGTGGGAGCATCACAAATTCAAAGCCAGCAAGAGCTCCATCTTGAGACTCTTTCGCAAATACAACAAAACAAAAAGACTACCCTGAGCCACCACTTCCTCCGGCAGGACTCCTGTCATGGACTCAGGGTTTCCATAGGAACCAATAAAGCAAGGGATGGAGGGGGAGGGAAAAGAGGAGATGAGAGTGTGAGGCGGGGGACCTTGACGCCAGCCTCAGGTTCACAGCATCTTGAACCTCAGCATCTTTGTGCACCTCAAAGACGGCAGGACGCAAAGCTAGGAGTGGGTTAGTTGGATGATCCTTGGACAGAGCCTCTCACAAGGCTATAGCGAAGCCATCAGGGAGGGCTTAGGGCTGCAGTAATCTGAAAGCTTGAGTGGGGCTGGGTACCTGCTTCTAAGATGCTGCTGTGGCAGGTGGCCTCAGTTCTTTGTCCCAGGCTACCCGAGCTATGCTTGTGAGACTGTTGTCTTTCCCTAAAGTGAGTAATCCACAGGGGAGCAAGGCAAGAGCTTGCTGTCTTTGTTGACCTAGTCTCAGAAGTGATACCTCACCATTTTCATCATATTCTCCTGACTACCCCAACCAAATACGATAAGATACAGGAGGTGATCACACAGGGCAAGGATAGTGGCCATCGTGGAGGTGGCTACACATCACATACCCTCATAGGCCTGGCATACCCAAAGGGCTTTATGATTATCTTAAGCATTCCTCTGCCTCCTGGCAAGACTGGACTCAAGTGTGCCTCCTTGACGTTCCAACCTGAAGTCCCCTGCTTTCCCACCCACCCACACCCTGTTGCCTGAGATGGGGAGCAGTGTGATTTCTCATCCTCTTCCTCACATCTCTCATCCTACAGATTCCTTTAGGGATCCTGGAGCCACCCACCTGGGGACATCATGGAGACGGTGTTCTAACACGTCTGGTCTCTCCATGAGCTTCTTACAATGTCCCCAAAGCCAGTGATGCATGAGCCAGCACTGGTCTGCAGCTGAGGTGAGGGAAAGGCCGGGTGGAGGGAGGGAGGGATAGTATCCTGGTCCTCTCCTGTCCCATCTGTGGATGAGCAAACCAACCTTCCGGTACCCTAACTGCACCCTCACAGCTTTCCGACACAGCGCAGACTGGATCTGAAAGCAAAACCTGATGATAAGGTAGAGACATGGCTGTGGCTTGGAGCTGAAAAAGCACAGCAGGGTAGCAAAGTCATGGGGGTAGCTCCCCGCCACTTTTGGTGTCCTCCTCTTTCTTCTTGCAAGGCTTGTTCAGGACCTGAGAGCTATTTGCTCTCTTTCTTTTCTTTTGTTTATGGGTCTCTTTCACTCACTGATAGGTCATTTTAAAAAATGGATTTTTTAATTGCACAGCATGGTAACTATAGTTAATGAGGACACATTGTGTTCTAAGTATGAGGCCAGCCAGGTGTGGTGATGCAGACCTATAATGACAGCATTTAGGAGGTTGAGGCAGAAAGAAGGGTACTAAGTTCGAGGCCAGCCTGGGCTATGTTGTGAGGTCAAGTCTGGTCTGGACTACATAGTGAGACCCCACCTCCCAAACAAAACCAAAGATAGTGACATTTAAAATGTTCTCACCACAAAAGTGCCAGCTATGTTAGGGATGTTAAATCAAACTAATTCATTTATTAGTTAGATTTAACTATTCCATGAGATAAATACACTCTAAAATACTATATTGTGTTTATGATAAATATGTGCAACTATATATGTCAACTAAAAAATTTTGTAAGTATAACTCAAGGACTAAAATTACAAATTCACATCATAACAGTGAATAGAATAAATATACAAATCAATTTATTTAATTCGAGCAATAATCCTATGAAGTAAATAAATACCCTGTGTGTTTTGTTTTTCTGAGACAAGGGCTCACTATGTAGTTCAGGCTGGCCTGGGAACATACTGAACCCAGACTGGCCCTGAACTTGCAGCATCCTCCTGGTTCAGCCTCCCAAGTGCTGGGATTACAGGTGTGTGCTACCACACACAGTTTGAAATTGAAATTTTAAAAGTTTATTATGGCAAATGACACATTTCCATTAATCTCCCTCAAAACCTATTGAAATAGTTATTCTTATCATTACTACTTTACAGACAAGGGAAACTGAGGCACAGAAGGGTAACTCACCAAGCTAACAAGTTGTAGAACTAGATTTTAACTCAAGTTGTCCAACTCTGGAGACTTGCATAGATGCTATAGTATGCTGACTCACTTGTGTTTTGTTTTGTTTTGTTTTGTTGAGACAGGTTCTTGTCGTTGGCCTTGAACTCACTGGCTCAGGCTGGCCTCAAACTCAGTGACCCTCCTGCCTCAGCCTCTCAAGTGCTGGCATTACAGACCTGTGCCATCACTCCCATATATTTCTATATTTCTAAGAAATTCACAGAAGAAATTTTGAGCTCACATCAAGTTAGCTTGAGGTATGTCTTCCCAAACCTCAGAAGCAGTACAAGTAATTTCCTGCCCTTTGAGTCCCTCTGGGCAAACATTTCAGTAGTGTCTTTGGTGGGCACTTCTATATAAGAAGCAAAGGCAAAAATACTGGTTGCCTTGCACTTTTTTTCTTTTTCTTTTTTTCTGGATGGGAGGCATGAGTGAAATTTTTTCATTTACATCTTGCAGAAGTAGAAAACAAATTTTAGAGAAAGGCAACCACTTGTCTAAGGATAGATACTGTTAGGTGCATAAAGGAAATTGTCACCAGGCTGTTGCTCCAAAGCTAGTGCTATTTCCCCTGATACGTGTGCAC